TATCCTAATAACATCCTGCACGCTGTCAATGGGACTTAGTTCGGATGTCCTGAGGATATCCCGGGATGTGACATTAAGCACTCGGGAGGAGCTTTTAGGAGGTTTGCGGGATATTCCGAATGTCCTGAGGATGTGCACATATCCCACGAGCAACATCTTCGGGATATCCCAAGGATGTTTTTGTGCTATGTGGGTGTATAGCATATACATTAGTTTCTTATTTTCTGTCTTAAGTTAAAGCCCAAGTGGAGGCTTACTGTAAACCCAAGAGTAAATAAAGGGTAAATTTAACCCTTCTTTTGGAATAAACAGTAAATTTAACCCTTCTTTGGACTCCGTATTTTAAATATTTTAACTCAGCGATAATTCATTACACAGTTCATAAGTATTTTAGCTTTCAAGGTCTTTCAATTAGTTGGAATATTATATCGGCACCTGATTAATTACTGAACCCTGTCTTTGGAGTTTGGAGAGTTTACATTAGCCACTCCTAGACTGCAAATTCCTCTGGTGCAGATAACCTGATGGAAAGGTTTGGATTCATAATTCAGACCATGTGGATTGTGATGAAACCAGCTCGTAACTTCAGTGGAAAAGGCTCTGTGATATCCTTCTTGGAGCAGTTGGAATTCCTCGTTGCATCCTCTTCAGAAAGTCACCAACAATGGTACAAGAGGACTGGAAAGTTCCTGCTAGAGAGCCAGGTTCCAAAACAAATAGCTGGGGAACTTTTAAAAAGCTCTGCTCAAAGCATTTCCAGTAGAGAAAGACTGTGCCAAGCTAAAAGCAGAACTCTTCAGTAAATGCCAGACAAAGGTGGAAGAACTGAAGGATGTCATTCTACATAACATCCAAATATTCTATTTATTGTATGTAAAGAGCCAGGCATCAAGTTAACAGAAGTCATTTCGCTCCTCCCTCCCATACAAGATTGGATTTTATGGAAGTTTGAGAGCCAAATATGTTCAAAAGCTTATTTCAACTTTCTGTGAAATTCGAAAGCCCGCAAGCTTCAGAGAAAATGCATACTGTTAATTTTGGCCAAAGCTAGTACTTGAGATTTTTACCACAGCAAAAATCACAAAATAGGCAGTATCCTTATCAGTATCAAATAATAACTGTTGTGCTTCTTGCCAAGTTGTTCTGTACATGACAGAAGTCATGAAATCTAAAACATTACTTAAAGCTTTTATGTTCCTTTTTCTCAGAGCTTTTGCGTTTCCCTTTTTGCAATAAAAAATACACCATCAGCATATAATTCATTTTTTTCAAAGTCTGGTACAGCTTTCCAAACCTCAGGATTTCCAAACATTTCCCCAGCCTTCCTGTAATGAATAGAAAAGTGCATTTTATCACTGTTTTGAAGGAACACGTCAAATTTTTCTTTTGCCTTTTTTGGTTTTAAACATCATTCTTCCTGACCTACTTTCAGAATCTGAAAATAGATATTTGGTGTTAAAAATGTGAGAAACAGGTAATTTATTTACTTTGCAATGATTACTTCTAGCCTGGGTGAGTTTTGATACAGAGCTAGTTCAACTCTAGTGATATTTGTCTCCTTTTTCTTATCAAAATATGAGCTGAGTATTATTTCATCCTTCAGCAGTGTTTTGATTTCAATAAAAGATGAAGTTATAATTTGATTTCAATCAAACATGAAGTTTTAACTGGAACTTAAGCTCCTGTATTGTTAAGTGCTTTTATTTTTTTATCTCCTTTTAAAATATAAGCATATAATTATTCTTGAATAAAACTGACATTATTAATGCTAGTTTTGTCTTTTTCTTTCCATTTCCTTATTTGCTCTGATTTGGTTTTTTATGCAATCCCTAGCAAAATGAAAATTTTCCATTTTTCCCCTTTCAAACATAGCATGATTTCTCTGACATTGGAGGAATCACATTTGGTCCACTTCTACTTTGATTTCAATGGAATGTTTCGCTCTTCATAGTTTGTTTTTGAACACTTTTGTTGCATTAGAACAAAATCTACAATTATTTATTTCAGACAACAATTTTCTGTACGATGAAAAATATAAATTGCATTCTTGCTTTAATTGGATTGGATTAAACCATGTTTGTCCTCGCGAACACACATATATTCTTTTGTTTTCAAATCCAAAGTTACATACAATTTATCTGCAACAATTAAATCACACAACTTTTTACAGTTCTTTCGTATTTTGCTAACCTGACACCAGAATTCAAATGCCGCAGTGAATTATGATGCAAACTGAACATGTGATTTTTTTGCTGTGCAGGGAGCATTTTTAATATTGTCAAAGATCTCTCTTGGTGTTGGCTGAAAATCAGCTAAAAATAAATCTTTTATTTTTTCATAATCCGACAACTCCTCCTAGTGGCATGTTAAAACATTATAAGCTTTACGTCCTATCCTTGGTTTGTAAGCCTTTCAGAACTTCTTTTGAAGCAAATGTTTTTTCCAGTAAAATGAAAAACAAATGCTATGCCTCCAGCTTCTCAAGAACAGGGGTTCTAAGCGTGTTAATACTTTTTATTAAATTTTCAACAATAATCTGCTTGTTTCTTCTACTGACAGAAAATGATTGTGTTTTTAAATTTTCTAGTTCAATCTGCTTCTTGATTTGGGTTAACTAAAGGCTTTCTATTTCTAGCATATATTCTTCATTACTTGTTTTTGTCGTCCAATCCTTCACGATCAATTTTGCAGTGCGATGAACAAATTCAACATTCATTTTGAAGACATCTGAATCTTCAATAATTTTTCTAATATCAGCTTTCTCAGCATTTTCTAGCACATTCTTTTCAATTTTTTCAGTGATTGATTCTGAATGGCCTTTGTTTGAATTAATTAAGAAACTCATTTCAAAAACAAAAAAGTAGCAAAAGTAGCAAAAAAGTAGTGAAAAAAAAAGTTTTCGCAGTATCTTATTTTTAAGTTCACTAGCTCCAAGGTCCCTAAATTGTGGGGATTATGTATTATCATAAACAAAAATCACAGCCACTGGTTCCAAGTGTCAGGTTTATTTTATTCAAGTCTATGTCTGTTGAAGTATGATTGCCTATGCGTGATTATGGCAAAGCCTTGAGGGTTGTCTGCCTAAGGGGAAGGATGCCTTCGTGGAGGACTTTATACAGGAAACTGGCTCGTATAAATGTAACACATGGGGAAAACCATGAAAACGCCATGCAGCCAGCCCGTTCACGGGATTCGAACCTATATGCGTGATTAGTAAACACCTTGTTAAAAAAAAATCCGTTACTCACTTTCAATAATGTCAATTCATAGACAATAAACTCAAAAATTCTTACATCTTAAGAATTCCATCAAGCAGTTTTATCTTTTGTACTGCTGCCAAGAAAATCAAGATGAATTGAAATGGATAGAGAGTTTTTAATTAATTTGTGGCTTGATTCCTACAACAGTGAGAGTTCATGAAAAATGGTAAATATGTATACTGTACAAAATCTGAAAATTTTTACACTTTATATAATTTATTTAATAAAATGACATAATCATAAAATTAAAAATATGAAATATTTCTTTGCAAAGTAATAAAATGTTTATAACTTTAAGGGACCAAAATTTACAAAATAAACTCAATGTTAATGTTTGTCTTATTTAATTAACATTTTATTCAACATAAATTGCTTGAGTAATTTCATTTTTTGTATAAATATTTTCATTTTACAGAGAGACAGTTTCTTGTTCAGTTATATAATTTCACTGTTCAAGTCCTATAACAGTATTGAAAATTATCACTAAAGCTAAGTGAAAATTTTCATTCTCAACAATATGTTTATCATTTTCTCACTATCAGTAGCAAATATTTTATGGATTTAAAACCAAACTGGAGGTTTCCCTGTCCTTTGACTGACTGATTTCGGAGATTGAGATTGCAATGAAGCCTTTAGTTATCATCTTCATTTAGCATCTTTTCAGAAATTCCCTTAGTCAGATTTTTTAAATATATATATATATATGAGAAGTGTTCAACTGAAAAGATATGAAATGACACTATGGATATATTGAAGTCTTTATTCACAAGTATTCACCAGAGGCCTGAGCACAACTATCCCACTGTTTCACGAGCCGGAGAAATCCATCTTCCCAGAATTTCTGTAGCTGTGGCAGGAGCCAGTCCACTACTGTGTCCTTCAACTGATTCGAGTTGAAGTGCTTCCCTTTGAGATGTCACTTCTCACCAAGTCGTTCACCTTGTCAATGGGCTACGCTTACCATTTTTACCTGGCCTGATCTCAGGTGATCACTCATAATCTCCAAACCTTCATGAAAACTGGCATTCCACTTTCTCACTGAATCATCGGACACACAGTCTCCTCTGTAAATGGAGACTGTACTTCCACAATCAGAAATCTGATAACATCTCACTACTCCTCAGTCATCGAATTTTGCAATGTGAACAACAAGATGTCATCACACGCACTGCTGCATCAATTGGATGGAAGGCACAACTGTCTATTTACTCTGGCTTTATGTACGGGCACATGCGCACAACCATCTCAGACACTACATTCATGTCCTTAGATATCTATGCCAAAGCGGCATATTCAAATTTCAATTGGTTTGGTTGTTAAGTTTTGTAGCTTTTCATTTGAACATTCCTTATATATGTACTTTGCATTAGACATAACCAGATTGATTATTAGAGAAGTCAAAGAACAAGGATCAGAGAATATTTGTAAATTTTGCTGGACTAGTTTCGATGGTTTAACTACAGAACTATCTGCCTAAAGAAAGAAAGAAAAAAAAAAAAAAAAAAAAAAAAAAGATTTAATGGGAGATTAAAGAGATTATGCTGATTATCGGATGTCTGGATACCAGAATCTGTTTGTATTATTATCACTATAAAAAAAGCCATTATTTCAAAAGTAAATTAAAAAATTATATAATTAAAACAATACTAATAAAATACAAAACTTATAATTATGTTCTTAAAACAATTAAATTATAATAACCAATAAGTTTAATATCCAAATAATAATAATAATTCTCACTCTTAGCAAGTTTTTCCACGGCAGCTTCTTTACTTATCGTTCCATGAAACCAAGGATAAATCTCATTCGGATCAACATCATCATCCTGAAACAAAAACTTAAAAATGCAAATGAACGTTCTTTGATGGCCAAAGACAGAAATGAGTTCATAGAATACAAGCTGAAAAGAATAGAAAAGAAAACAAAGAAAAAAGAAATTTAAGTGCATTTTCATGAATAAATGACAAATGTTACATTACTATTCTTGTCTGGGATTAAGGCATATCATACAAGTAAATCACCTTACAAATTAACTTTAACACAAACATTTTAATAATACAATCTTATAAATTTTAATATATTAATTTGGTGAAGAAAGAGCTAAGTTAGAACCAACTTTTGTATGTGTATGCCAATACATACATTAATGATTTAATTTCAGTTTAAAATATATATATACAGATTATGTAACAACTCGCTTTTCTCTTTTTACAATACATGCATCTTTATTCCTTAATGACTTATATCTGCAGCAAAATGTCACAAGACGCTCTTTAATTCAAAGTGGATACGAGTAGAATCAATTACATTAAGCATGTTAGTTGCAGTTTATAAGGTCTGTCACTCAAAAGTTTTACAAAAATTAGTAGACCCAAGTTTATGGTGTTAACATGTGAAAGTGATGTTACTATGGAAAAGAAGTATAAAGGAAGAACACAGCCTAGCTAGTTACCTCAAAGACTCAAAAAACTGATAAAATGGATCAAGAGAAGGTTGGAACATATTATCCAAAAAACTCATCAGTCAAATATAATAGTTATTCATCTGAGTCTGGAGGCAGAAGAAACAGTGATAGAACTATCTTTTGTCAGGAAAAGACTGCATTTAGTTTTCATGGAAAATCTAGCCAGCATCTGTTGAAAAATTATTTGGATAATTTCAAAAAGAAAAATTATACATATTGTTAGCAATTTCCACAGTCTACCGCCAGATGGTCTCATGATATTAAAAAATATTCAAAGCATTTGTAATAAAAAAAAAAAAAAAAGAGAGAGGTAAGGAATGTAACCATGGTGACAGACAATATTAATTACTCATGCACTTTTTAAAAAAGCAGTAGAATAAAATATTTCGATGCTGTTCATTGTGAATTTCTGTCCTGTTAAATAATAACGCAAAATCAAAAAGATACGCATAGTGGATATTAGAGAAAAATCTTGACGGCAACAACATCAGAAGCGGAATTGTCGATGTCAATATCAATGTATAGTGACTGAATGCCTTTGAAGATCTGATGCATAAAAGATGCATCAGATCTTTTATGCATCAAAAGTAAATGTTTTGTTTTTACTCCCTTCTAAAGTTATTAAATGTATCAATGAAACTATTAAACATATATATGAAAGATTTTAAACGTATCGAAAGCTACTGAACGTATCAATAATAAGTATTAAATGATTAAACGTATATAAAAAGGTAACCTTCATAATGTCTTTTCTTGGAAAGGGACGCGAGTGATCTAATGGAACTTGTGACGGAAATTGGAGAACTCTTCCACCAGATGCCATTGTGATTACGATTAAAAACAACGCAAAAGCGATCTAATTGAACTTGACGGAAATTGGGGAAACTGTTCCACCAGATGCCATCGTGATTACGATTAAAAACAATCATCACTAATAGTAAAAATTATGAAGAATTATTTGTAAAACAAGTCTTTGAAAGGATTATTGAGGAAAGAGTTAAGAAATAAGAAGATGAAAGATTAGAAAAACAAGCACAATTAGAGTTTCAAGAATGTGAAAAACGAATACATTTAGAAATTGAAGATTGGAAAAAACAAAGGAATTTTGAATTACAAAAACTAAAGCTTTTAAACGATAATAAAATAATGTCCGAAACGTCAACGGAAAATTCAACCACACAAGAAAAGAAAATTTTATCGATTTGAAAAGACTTATGCAAAAATTTGATTTAAAGGATGGAGACATACCTTCATTCCTAGTAATATTTGAACGTCAAGCCAAACGGGTGGGGTTAAATGAAGATGATTATGTTTTTCATTTATTAGGACTTTTACCTCTCAAGATCACACAACTGATCGCCAGAGAATCAGAAGAGCAAGCTAATGAGTGTGCATTTGTTAAGAATTTATTATTAAAGCATTTCAAGTTAAGTCCAGAAAAATTTCGCTAGAAATTTGTTAATCATATTAGGGATTCAAAAAATGGATGGACAGATTTCGTTTTCAAAATTTGTAACTATTTTAACGAATGGTTAGCAGGATTAAAAATAAATGATTTTGATTCTTTAAAAGAATTAATTATAACAGATTAATTGAAAAGACGGGTTCCGAATTCTATGAGGGAATGCAAAAGCGATTTATTGATTCATGGCCTAAAAATATAAACACAAATGAACTAGCTGGAAAATTAGATGACTACGAAAACATTTGAGCAGGACTAAAAATAAACAATGAAAGTAAAAGCAGTTTGAAGTTATGGCCTTGGGATGATTCTAAAAACTCTCTGAGAGTAGTGAATGTTAGTAACCCTAATATATTCCAAAACAGAGACACGTAGAGAAACTATAATTATTGCGAAGATAGTTCAACTATGCATAAATATAACGAAAAACAAAAACTATTTAACTCTTCTACTCATAATGATCAAGGTGATCCCAAATTTTTTCATGTAATCTCTTTGGTCATATTTCAAAAGATTGAAAAGCCATTCAAGGAACTATTGCCCTAAGAATAAAAAGGAAGCTACAATAAATGTTCATGGTCTTGATGACTTTTCTGTAGCAGCTGATATGTACAGTCAAAAGTCTTTAATCCGGACTTGTCGGGACTTCAATTCCGGATTATAGATCATAAATTTAAATCTGGTAAAATGGCATGCAGAAATTATAAAATTAAAAATATGAAAGGGTAATCTATGAAATAAAGAACAATTATGATCTAAAGGGTATCAAAATTTACAAAAAAAAAAAGCTTAATAATTATTTGTTTACTTTATTAAACATTTCTATCAATGCGCGCATGCGTAAAGCATATATTACGCATAGTCGAAATTAGAAAATTGCAACCAGAAAACTATTTGATGTGTATTCCTGATACTTATAATGACGGGGAATTTGATTTAAATCATATCAAAGACGGAGTAAATCGAGAGGAAATACTACATTTAGTAAGGAATTATAAGAAATAAATAAAAACAAATAAAATAAAATAATAATAATTTCGATAATAATAATAATCAAATAAAATAAAAACATCTGCCCTGAAGATAAGGATAGTGTTGACAGATCAACTTCCAGTTCATTGCACGCCGCGACGTTTCTCCCTCCCTCACTACAGAGCAGCTACAGATTTCGGAATGGTGAGAGAAACAAAGCATATGCTTTTATCCATTTTTTGCAGCAATTCCACTTTTTGTTTGATGGACATCGAAGCATCGTTTCGCTTTGTAGATCCTTTGGCAGCTCCAGAATCGGAAATTCTTTTTGACATAATCGAAAGTTCAAGCTTACTTTTATGAAATTGCTCTAACAGTCTGCAAAAAATAATAAGCCAGATCCAATTAGATTAAGGAACAACACAATCTGCAACATTAGCTGAAATAGATAATTAGATAATTTTAGCTTAGCTTACCGTCCGTTATACATTAAGTGCGCATGCGTAAACGTATTATGCGCATGCGCAGAAAGTTTGTAGCTTTGAGGTCCGGATTATAGATCATTCCGGGTTATGGACGTCCGGATTAAAGACTTTCGACTGTACTTGAGGAATGCTTTAATTAGCAATTCTCGTATTGCACCTTCAATGATTGACACAGGAGCATTGTCATGTCTACTTAAAGAATCGGCTGCGAAAGGCCTGGAAATAAATATTTCTCTTGCAGAAAGGAGCTGTTTTGTTTCGGAAATCAAAACTGTCCAATAAAAAGTCTTGGTGCAGCATTTGTGGATTTAAAAATTGATGACGTAGTGGCAAAAGATATTCTAGTATTAATTGTGCCAGATTCGGCTCATTGCATATGCTAGAATCGGTGATGCTTTGCATAACAGTCATGCAAAAGATTATCCATTTATTGGATTAGATTGCATTGAAGAAAATTCATGTGTTAAATTAAAATCATATGAAACAACGAAAATAATTAGTAACAGCGTAAATTTTGTAAGGGTAAAAACTGAACAAATCAGTAATGGACTAGGTATGGTTCAAGGAAATAAGGGGAATTTTAATTCCTTATTGGAAATAAAGGAAGGTAAAACTATTATACCAATTGTCAATATCAGAAATAAGGAAATAACATTTAAGGAAAACCAGAATATCACAAAAGTGGAGATAGTGGACGAAGTATATTCGAGTGATGTTAATTCACTTAATGGTAATCATTCATTAGAAATTTTGAATGTTAATGCTGCAAATATAGAACAAAAACCTATAACTTTAAAAACGAATTAAATTTAACGAAAATTTAATGACACAGCAACAACAAGATTTAGTTAATTTGCTAAATGATTTCAGAGATTGCTTTGCATCAAACATATCAAAGTTAGGATGCACCCTGTTAACAAAAATGGATATTAAGGAAATCGAGGGTTAAATACCTGTATGTATGAAACCTTATAAAAGGAATGCAATTGAAAGGAAGGCAATTAAAGAAATAGTTGATGACTGGAAGGAACATGGTATAGTTACAGAAACACGTTCTCCATATGCGAGCCCTGTGCTTCTGGTGCGTAAAATGACAGGTGAGAATCGACTAGTTGTTGATTACAAAAGATTAAACAATCAAACAATAAAAGCTCAATTTCCTCTCTCCAAAATTGATGACTTATTTGAAAAGCTACATGACTGTAGCATGTTTAGTACTTTAGACCTGGCCCATGGGTACCTACAAATTGAGTTGACAGAAGGTACATTAAGCGCTGAAGAAGCAAAATTGAAAACCACTTTTATCACACCTGATGACACAGGTCAATTTGAGCAAATGATATTTGGTTTAACTAATGCCTCAGCGGAATTTCAGCGCTTAATGTACCTTGTATTAGGCCGTTTGTGTAATAAGGATGTCTTATGCTATCTAAATGACATCT